AAGCAGCGCTTGTTTCCGTTCAAGGCGCAGAAGCAGCAGCAGCGCCCCCGCCCCGCATCACAGAAGGAGGAAAGCCGGCCTTAGCCAGCGATCCGACTGGTACGTTCATAACCTACACGGAAATAGTGCAGCCTGTTTGGACAGCCACTGAAGCAGCCTATAATTTATGCAATCTGTCTTCCTAAAGCGTCTTGCTTTGGAATGCACTACCGCATTCAGCAGTGGAACCCTTTAAATGGCCCTCACTAAAGTTGTTGATGGAAGATAATTGTGGTAAGAGTGATAAAGTCAGTTGCTGCTGTTCATAACATCTCTGTAAACAAACCACATGCATTTGGAATAGAGCTGGCTTAGCGGTCGTACACGATGTCGTTACTAATAAGCAGTGAGGAATGAGTTCTGTTGGAATCACTGAGATCGTTATACTTGAGTCATATCGATCGCATTGTTGTTGTGAGCGGTGAAGCGGATTTTCCCATGTTACCTTGTCAATAATAGCTTCTATCACTTCCGTACCCGCCAATAATATTCCCGTCCCGTATCACTATCATATCACCCCATATCGGATCCGAGGTCCCACTGTTGCTGTAACCTGCGTTACGAATCTGATGACCCTCCCCTTCCGAGGCCCGCTTATCGGATCTTCATCAACTGTTATCACACTTTCTGTCACCCGGCCAATATGTTTCCCAGTCTCAACCCGTTATCACCTCACGATCTGAGTTCCCCTGTTGCTGATACCTGCGCACCAATTTGATGAACCGCTGCCTCTTGCGAGGCGCTTATCGCGATTCTTATAACTGTTATCATTTTCTGTCACCGCCAATATGTTCCCGTCTCACACCCTATATCACCTCTCGGATCCAAGGACCCACTGTTCCTGTGAGCCGCACTATGAATTTGGTAGTCTTTCCCTTCTAATGCCCATTATCAGATCTTATCAGCTGATATCACATCCTGTCGCCTACCAATAATGTTTTCGTCCCACCCCCCTATTTCACTGCTGCGTACCGACGTCCCTGGCTGCAGTGGCCGCACTATGGACTGGAATGGCCATCCGCTTGGACGGCTGCTTATCGAATCTTATCAACTGTACCACATCCTGTCACCCACCAATGGTGTTCCCGTCACACCCCCTCCATCACTTCCTGGAATCAACGTTTCTCTGCCACTGGGACAGGTGTTATGAAATTTCGTGAGCAGCCCAAAGCACACACTGACACACAAGACACACTTGACGGATTATATATAGTAGGAATTTGTGCTGGACAAAGACGTGGCTGCATTAGTCAGACTGGATAATCCTCCTACAGAAGCACAGCTGCAGCCACGTTCAAATGATGTACACAATTACACCCCCCAAATCTCTGCGACCTAGAGTATACAGTCCTCATCATTACGGTACTGTCGGGGCGAGCACAGCCGCGCTGCAACTGTGACGGGACAGCGGTGACGGTGAATCAGCTGATTTCGATGGAATTCGGCTGCAAATTCCCACTTTTTCAGCTCTTCAAGCTTCTAAAGTGGAAGGTGAGTTATTCTGAACAATTTTGAATTGTACTGGCTCTGATTTCCTTTATTTTTATGTCGATTATATGCTCTTTTCCTTGTATTTTGCCTTATTTCAGGCATTTATTCAAATGGCTTACATTCTTTCAGATTCATTCAGAGTCAGTACAATTCTAAATTGGTCAGAATAACTCACCTTCCACTTTAGAAGCTTGAAGAGCTGAAAAAGTGGGAATTTGCAGCCGAATTCCATCGAAATCAGCTGAACCGTCACCGAGCCGCAAGCCGGCTGTCGGTCAAGTGGCACGCAGGCTGTGGCCGCCCGAAGTACGATAATGATGAGGACTGTAGGTGTGGAACCGGAGGTACTAAGCAAAAGTTTCACAGAACGCGACTATGTCCTCCAGTATCGAGTAGCTAAACGAAACCGTTGGAACCAATTGTTCCGAATCCAAAGCGTCGATCATGTTACCGTACCTCAACTTTGAGACCCCTCGTCAGTTTGAGAAGTGAATACATGCCAAATGATACTTGCGGAACGTGACTGTCACATGAAGCGGGAAATTTGTGTCAAAGGTGGCCTTGATGACAGTTGTTATTGTTGCCCCATATTCTTTCTAATTTTTACGTTCGCATCATGGCAGCTTTTGGCTGGTAATTCTTCTAGACATTACAGTTGGGTCGATGAGTATCCTTTCAACAGAATGGACTGGATCTCTTTTTGGGCGTTGCAGCCATGGGTTTTAAAAAATAAGGATGACGTAAACTGTCGGGTACGAAGACGGGCAAAAGAATGCGTAATTTGGGCCGCTACACCGCGGCGCGAGATGGGCGCAGCGTTTCTTAGTCGTGTTAACCTGTCGATGGAACTATGTACTTTTAATGTAGACTCTGTCATTATGGACGCATCATGAATATTTCGGTTCTTGAATTGCCTGTGGTCGAACCTATGCTTGCGTGCCATTGTCAAATTTGCTGGGGCGACGTTGCACGCGACGGGCGCGCACGCAGAAGCGGTGATTACGATTATCTTGTCACATACCCGTCCGGGTATAAATGCTTGTCTAAGTAACGCGAAACACATGTGAACATGTCTCACTCTGCAATTCCTGTAAGTTCAGTCAAGTACCCAGTATACTTCGGTCAAGCTCTGCAGCTATGGAGTTCAATAAACCCGATATATTAGAAGTAGCTTCCAAGTTCGACTGTTTTTTGGAAAATTTGACAGTATTTTAGAGGATCAGAATAGGTTTGGCGGGCTCACAGGAAGCCTACCTCGTTAAAGGGATATCCCGGTTGGCACGGCCTGTGTGACTGCCAGTTCTCGAAAGCCTTCTTTTAAATGTTCATACGCTCTTTGGACATGATAGTCTCATCTGCACTGTCACATGAACGGGAAATGTTTTGTGTAACGTGGACTCTTTATGACAGTGTTATTGCTGCCGATATTTTCCTGAATTTTACGCCGCGTCATGGCACTTTGGCCAATATTCTCTCTAGACATTACCCCCTTGTGTCGATGAGTATCTTCAACAGGTGGACTTTTTGGCGTTAGCAACTCTATAAGTGAGACGTGCTGGGGGCGATGCCGCGCTGTGGTCAATAGACACCGCAACGCCCACCTTTCACTTCACAAGGTTCCCTTGTGATGTCTCCGCTACTACCTCTACTCATTTCGAATGTGAGGAGTGAGGAGATAAGGAGAAAGAGTTGACACCAGAACTCGTCCGATTACGCCCCCTCGTTGTCTTGTGCACGTATTTAGCGCGATTGAGCCTGGGGCAATAATGTAAGCGGTTGCGAGCGTTTCTGAAAGCTTACGTATCGGCTTGTCGCTTTTTACATCGCTTGCCATAGTATTTTTACCGGCAAATCATTTTAACACGCAGGAGGGCCGCTTTTATCACTGAACATGGGCGTGGTCTACGCCTTAGCAATCGAATCATTACACGCCGGTGGGCAGCAACCCTACCCCCAGCCGGAGCAGGTACGATAGCGACCGCTAAAAAGCTCTACTGAGGCTACTTCACCTTTGATGAGGAGCAATTTCACCGCACATCTACGGCAGTGCAGATATGAGGCTCCTCATCAACAGGGGGGGGGGTTATAAGCGCGCCTTGCCAGCTTGCGGATAAAGGAGGCAACTAAGGAGTAAAAAGAAGTAAGTCGCTCTCAGAAGAACAGTAAGAAGGACGGGCAATAGCACGTGAAGCGACCGATTTGTTCAGTTATTGCGCAGGCTGATCGGATTAGCAAGCAAATGCTCATCTCATCTCTGGCATTCACAAAGTACAGCTTTTAGCAAGTCCCGTTACTGTCGAAAGTTACTTTCAGACAGTGAGTATCATTGTCCACCCTTTGAAGCCGCAGCATAGAACCCGGGTTAATGCTGGTTCAAAGGTGGTTAATGAACGCACTGTTGAATCTACTGGAACCGTTTTCTCAGAAAATCAGGCAGAATTTATCTAATACTCTATCTTATCTATCTATCTTATCTACATATCCCCGGTAGCCTTTTGAGAGACATAATGCACGGCGTAATCGCTGAAGCGATGTCACAGTAGTTCACAAACTTTATTAGCAACTATGTAGCATAATATTAAAAAATAAATGATGTTTAACTAACGATCACATAAAATAACTTCGTGATTGATAGTAAAGAGCAAGTCGGTCACAAGCGTATGCTTCGCAATCCATTATTGCCAAAGTGTCCTGAAGAGAATTTTCAGCAGAATGGTTAGTTTTGAATATGAATTTTAAAAAAGTAGAGTTGAATGGAAGACGAGTGCTTACCTTTTCACAATATAGATTAAATATAGCCCAGAATAAGTTAACGACCGGTTCGAACTGATTGATTTCCCGTAGAAGGCTAAGGTCCGATTTAATAGAGATGTTCAGCTGAAACATTCGTCTTCTGAGAATATCAGAATATAAGGGCCCTTTCAAATGGGTGGGGTCAGGCGCGCTATTGTCCCCTCTTATTGGTGCGCCTCTCCTTTCTATACGGTAAAAAGAGAGGGGCGGCTGAGCAACTAGAGGAAAGGTGCGAATTATAGGACTGACTTCGCCCACATGGCTATCGTGCACAGGCCTTTTCGATGACTTTTCAATGGGTTTTTTAATGAAAGCTTGCTGACAATAGTCAGCATTTCGAATGCGCCACACAGCATATACCCAGATTGATATTCAAAAAATAATTTAAAAAAATCAATAAGCAATACCTTTTTGGCTTCTCGAACGTACTCCTTACAAAACTCCATTTTCATCGATCGATTATGCAGTTTGTTTAGATCGATTCGATAGCGTGGATACTCGCGAAGATTGTGTTCAATAGCCGAGGCGCAGAAATAGTTAGCCAAGTCAAAGCCCCTTAATATCGATTGCCGTCTAATTTTTATTGATTGATACTAATAAAAAAAGACAAACCTGTAGTTATAAAAGCTGAATTCAAAATCGACCAGGTTCAGGGACAAGGACTCTTTGTCGTTTCCGTTCAATAAGATCCCATCAGGCGTCGACGAATCGACGGATTTGCTCGTGCTGATCAACAAGTTCCCAGACTGCAATGGGCACGAATTTCACTCCATTACAGTTGATTTCTTTATTCAGTTAGTTATTATATTATTTATACCATTTTCATTTTAAATCGGACACTTTTCAAACCAAGAGGGGAAAATCTCCTTAGACTAGGCAGTTGGTCAACTAAATCACCTTAGGTACTACTGCAAATCCTTCTCCTTTGAGCATGCCCGCCTTTGAGTCATTCTGTGGAATTCGGTTTTTTTTTTCAATGTCTTTGCCTTGTCAGGCTGCAACATATAGCTCCGCCCGCTACTGGAAGCCCCGCCCTTCACAGAAGCTCCGCCCACACCTGGAAATGATCCAGATCGGCAGGATAGAACCGGTCTGGCGGGTTATGTTCTCCCGTCATCAGGAACGGGAAACCAGGGGAAATTGTTCCTTTCTGCAGTTCTCTACGACATTCTGCAAGCATGCACTAGAAATACACTGTGCTCTGGGACGACAGAATAGACGACGAAAGGCGAGAGCATATACGATTAAACGTATAACGTACTTTCCACACGGATTTCGCAGTGGATCCACCGCCATGACAAGACGTAGCCATAGAAGGCGAGATTTCTTTGACAGCTTCTTCTGAGAGATAGTGGTGCAGTTTGTGAGGCTGCGGGAATGACTATGTCACACTTTCACAGAATGGTTCGACTCAGTTGGGCCCTGGCCTTTGAAGGCACGGTCCGCGATCAGGTATCGAAGTTGAAAATATGGCGTCGGGAGGGTAGTGTGGTCCGCGACGAACAACCTTGTACCGGTTTCGCGGCAAAAAATTGTAAGGAAGGGCGCTATAGCGCAATATAGGTTCAGTAAGTGGGCAGGACGCCTCTTTTTTCCAGTGACTCCCTCCAGACTCCGCCTTCAAGGCCGCCTTTCAGTGAAAAACGAAGCTGCAGGACGAAAAAGCATGAAAATCGTCACTTGTACGGTCGTAGAGTTCTTATCGGGGAATCAGCTGTGCGGATGGGGCGTAGTGTTGGAGATGGAGTTAATTGGGCACGTACAAACTGGGATCGGAATGGGGTTCTATCTAGGGCAGCTAGCATGTTTTTATCGGATTTTTTCTTCACTATCGAATACTCTTCACCTTGTCGTCAAAATGCAAACCCCTAATCCACTGTCCATGATGGCGAATGATCGCATGCTTTGCCTTAAAAGGCCCAGTACAGTTCAATGTCAAGTTCAGTAATAAAGCGGACAGAAAACACAATGTTCTTCGATATGCTGTCTGCCATCGTCTTGGACAGACCGTCGTATTTCAAAGAAAACCTGTCCATATCAACTGGTTGTAATGTTGTACCCATAAGATTACTCACAGTGAGATCATTGTGGCAAAAGACGACAGGCGATGGCGAGGTGCTGAGAAACTCTTCAACAGTGTCTATTTCTCGTGCCAGATCGCTTGTAGAAACCACAGATGGGAACTGAAACATATAGCATGAATTTCAACTACATTACTATCGAGATACATTATGAATTGAAATTATTGGTATTATTGGATGTAGTCAGGTGGTGGTAGGAGTGCGTACAAAGAAGCGCCCTTACGTCCCTTCTCCTCTCGAAGGATTATACTTGACAAAGCGCAGACGGCCACAGACCATCAAAGTTGCAGCTGGGTCTCGCAGAACAGACATAGCCCCGGAAAAATAGTCGACATAGTAGCGACTACTGCTAAACCCTTCCTCCCGCCCCTCACCCAATACCCTAGCTCCCTAACTACGTTAAAGGCAGTTGGCACGATAAATCCCCCAAGACGAGTAGGATTAATACGCCTGGCAGGACGGAATTCCGCGACCCTGAGCTGCATATGCCTTTTCCAAGGGAGGTGCCCTTATAAGGGCCCTATCAAGCCACAACATACCGACCCAAACGCCCGCCACGCCGCCCGCCCACAAATGGACGACCGTTCCTGACGCTCTATGATTCATTTGCTAAGCAAATTATGAAGCGAAGGGATTGGTATGAAGCGGCCGTGATGCTGCATGGATATATTTAGTGCAGCAGCAGCCGTACCTTCGGTAGCGAATATTGGCAAGATGCCTACGTGAAGCTCGTCCAAAATTGATGCCTAATATGCTGGGAACGGAGGCTCCTTCTTCGGATTTTGATTGTTCCACTCCGTTCTTTCGCCGTTTCCCCACTATATGCGCCCTACTGGCATTTTAGGCCGAGCATCAAATCGTGCCAGCTGCCTTAAGAGCCAGGCTTTCTGTGATAAATTGAAAAATCACCGTATCAGGAGGTAGTTGAAAGGATGTCGTGCGCATCTGAATATGTGAATTGCCTTGGTCTTCATAAAGCGCTAACCATTCCCGCATCATGTGCACCAAACTTGGCCTCTTCGATATCGGTACTGCCGTGGAATGGAAACGTGGCAGGAGCCTGGCCAGCAGCGTACATACTCTAAAAAACAGCTTTTATTTCCCGCTTCCTTCTTCCATATTACCAAAAAGAATGACTATCTTCAATCAGCCCCACCTGGGATCCGCCACTTCGTGATGATCCACAGGTCGACTAGGAATGTATTCTTCAAATCGTCCACCAGGAAAAATCCCTAGTAACTTTGGACCGAGACCACTTTCTGAAAAGATGTTAGAATTGTATTTCCACAATATGATTACAGTATCTCAACCAGTGTCGGCTCTAGGGCCTACACACAATTAGTATCGGTGGAGACGTTCCTGCGTACACCTGAAATCCCTGCGATGGGATAGGCGTGGCTGCGTACTTGAACTATCTATGACGGTGATTGTGGTTTTGGTTAGGATATTTTCCTTTTGAGACAATTGTCATGTCTTTGTCCAACATAGAACAAGATGACAGCTGTCTCAAGTTGAAATATTCCCGAATAACCCATTCTATGCCATGTCCAAATGCCACGCCTACTCCGTCTCATGGATAAGGAGTGTACGACGTTTTGGCGCAAATTCGGCTCGTTTCCACAAGTCGTTGCTACTTTTGAGAGGATATTTCCTTTTGAGATAAATGTAATCATATCATTGCCCAGCATTAGAGTTGCTTCAAATCGTAATATCCCACGAAGAATCCCACAGTGCCACTAATCCTGCTTGAACGAGGTACGCCGCCACGCCTACCACATCTCAGGGTATGGAGTGAATCTATGATACGCCTGTACCTGACGCTCCGATAAGCACTGTACCTACGTAGGGTCCCTGCAAACGATAGGGTGTGTGGACGCTCGTGCATTGAAGCGCTGTAAACCCCAATAATTGCGTCATTCTGAATCCGCAACAATTGGCGTAGAGGGGTATTTCAGCTGCACTCCATTTCACGCCCCTTCACATGCTCTCTCGTTCGCAGGGTTCATGACTATGCACACACACCCCCGCTTTGTCCTCAGAACATTTGTCAAAAGAAAAGGAAGCCTGTATGCAACTTGCAAGTAACCACATTAAAGATCGCCGTACATTTTTTTTCACGGAGCACTGAAACGGTGAGAGGCTACGTTATCAATTGGAATGGCCATGAAACCCGGTCCCCCCACAAAAGATATATTTTACGTTTCGAGAACGATGACAAAACTATTTTACTATCTTGGTGTCCCTCTAAAAACATGACAAAACAATGATGACTATGAGCTAATTATTCTCTAGCACCCACCTGCTAAAGAAGTGAACACGACAAGTTCATTGAGCAGTTTCTCGTGATCGGTTTGTGACTGGATTCGCAGTAGTACAGTCGACGGCTGATCGTCCGATGATGAGAATTTTGATCGGCTCACCAAATAGACAAGGTTTGTCAGTCCGCCGCTATAAGCAGAAGTATTGGAATTTGCTTGCTATGTCGAGCTAGGCCAAGAAATGCAACCTGGTGTAGGAGCAGAAGGATCAGGCCGACGACGGGGAGGGGGGTTTGCACTTTTGCTACTTCCCTTTAACGTG